TTTGCTGCTTTTAAACTATGGAATAAGTTACCTTCTGAAATTAAAGATTCCCCTTCCCTGCCTGTTTTTAAGAAAAAGTTAAAGACCCACCTTTTTAAAAGCCATTTTAATTGCTAAATGCTTAAGCTTTTTTCAGAGTTTACTTTTTTTATTATTGTATACCATATTTTATTCTAATTGTGCAATGTTCTTATTATTAAGATGTTTTATATTTTATACCTTTACAATAATGTAATAGCGCCATAGAGCAATCTAAGTATTGGATTATAGGCGCTCTATAAATAAATTATTATTATTATTATTATTATTAAAATATTGAAAAATGGGCTATGTTCAGGTTGAGAGCGCACCCCTTTAATATGATTGTGCCAACTTTTACTAATAAGATTTGGAAAGCTTATTCAATTACCTTTTAGGATATATTTAGTTGGATCATCAGAATTTTGTATGATGGTCCGAATTTTGACACGGGATATTAACATTAAAAGTCTTTCCGTTTAATTTTTTTTTCAAAATTGGCCATGTTTATGATGAGAGTTCATCCCTTTAATATGGCTGTGCCAACTTTTACTAATAATATTTGGAAAGCTTATTTATTTACCTTTCGGAATATATTTAGTTGGATGTCCAGAATTGTGTAAGATAATGCGAAAATACATCTCTATTCTGAGCTAAAGGAATGGGTAAATAATTAAATATTCTACTTTCATTTGATAGACGTAACGTTGGATTTGATTGGTTGATAAAAATAGATGAGTTTGGGCGACTGTTGAATTTATTCTGAATAGGTTGCCACCGAACAGGTTGCCAGCTGGATCGGTCGAATAGGTCGCTAGCCGAATAGGTCGCCAAATTGTGTTCGGTCAACATACAGGCCCAGAAAATAATGACCGTGACGAATGTTGGGATGAAGGCGAATGGCTTTGTGTCACCAGAGAAGACGACCCTTCTTTCCCACAGACCGAACATTACAAAGGACATCAAGGAACGAAGGTAAATAAATCGATCAACAACAAAATATCCCCGTCTTCAAAGTTCAATAGTTTTTATTTTGGCCATTCCTTTAGTCGTCCCCACCCGCCTTTTCTTCTGTTTATGGATAATTAGACATGTTGACAATAGGCTTACGTGGGTTTTTTTGCCAAATAATGGTAGATTTATTGATTGCAATTATATCAATTCATTTGACCCCGATTCCTGTGTAACACAAAAGTCAATATAATAAGGTATTGTGTGGACAGTTGACATTCTGTAGTTACATCCCTTCCCTATAATGAATTATCCGAAAAATCCATTTTTATCTTCAATTTTGTGTTCCAAATGAATTTTACACAGATGGGCTTGGTAAAATTTAGTGGGTGCATTCATTCATCCATTTATTCATTTATTTATTTCCTCTACTTTCAGTTGCCAGTAATGTTGAGGATAAATCCTATTGATTTTTTTAATCTAATATGGTCAGACGAAGCTGTTCAAAAAATATCCAAGAATACATGGATTTGATCACAATCAGTAAAATTGAACAGAATCAGGAAAATCTCAAGCCACATTCTAGACTTAGAAAATGGATTTCTCCTTCTAAAGCTGATATCAGACGCCTGATGGGAATAGTAATCAGTATGGGTGTAATAAGGCTTCCTTGTATTACAGACTACTGGTCGTCCAATAATGTTTTATGTATACCGTTCTTTCGTGAAGTTATGAGTCGAGATTAATTTTTACTTTTATGTTGGAATCTTCATGTTGCTCACCCTTTACCAGATAATGTTTCTTATCCGTCAAAATCATACAAAATACAATGGCTCCTAGATCATGTCAACATGCGTTCACAGGAACTTTATGAAATGGGACAAAATATTGCTGTGGATGAGACAATGGTAAAATTCAAAGGACGGATTGGATTTAGACAGTACAATCCAAAGAAACCAACAAAATGGGGTATGAAATTATTCACATTGGCTGACAGCAATACAAGTTATATGTGGCAGCAAAACTTAAACGTTGGAGCCGATGGTCGGGAAAATGAACTTAGTAAATGTGCTCAACTTGTACTGTCTATGCAGACAGATATTTTTGGACGTTGGGATTAGCTCAACGGCTCATAGACTCTGGTTTTAATATTAATAGTACGGTTATGCCAAATAGAAAAGGCTTTCCTCAAAGATTGAAATCCTCAAAACATATGAAGCCAGGTGAAATTATTGCCTTTCGTAAAGATATTTTGATGTTACAATGGAAAGACAAGCGAGTTGTTACAATGATTACCAATAACTGCCGATCTGATGAATGGTGCACTATAAAACCTAAAAATCCAAATCATGACACTAGAAATAAACCCAAGTGTATAGCAGATTACAACAAGCACATGAATGGGGTTGATGTCAATGACCAATTATGTACATATTATCGTTTTGAGAGGTCTTCTCTAAAGTGGTGGAGAAAAATATTTTTTCATCTTCTTGAAGTCTCGATTGTTAACGCTTATATATTGTACAAATCTGATAAACTTGAAAGAGGTGAATCAGATATTATGTCAACAAAAGATTTCCGCATTTCTTTGGTCAATAGCCTTGGTGTTCCAATAAATAAAAATGTTCGTGTTGTAAATGATTTACAGAGACTTGATGGCAACCCACATTTTTGTGCCAAAGCTACAAAACCAGCCGAGTGTAAAGTTTGGAGTGATAGGAAGTTAGGTAAGGAATATCGGAATGAAACATCATATATTTGTGGCACCTACTGTGATAAACCGGCCATACATCCTGAGTGCATGGAGAGATACCATTCTGTTGAACAATATGAGCAACCAAGAAGAAGGTCTTCTCTGGTGGTAAGCTGACAAAGGAAAAATGGACTTGCTTAGCCTCAGTGCTATTGCTAAATTTGTATTTTGACGATGATCAGGGAGACGTATTCATCACATATTGTTTGTTTATTGTTAAATTTGTGATAGTACTTAATTGTACAGGCTTGTTTAGTCAATCTAAAATTTTACATTGAAATACAGGTTTTGAAAGTAACTATTCCTAGTTAACTATTTTTTAATCAGACTATCCATTTGACCACAATTAATCAACCAGTCTACATTTGTTCAAATTGGTTACCATGGTAACCCCAATTTATTAATTTTATGTTGTAAATTATTGCTTTACTAAATATCTTATTTCTTGATAAGGCATAAAATATCTGTGTTACTGATATATTAGTGTTCACTTATATGAGTATGGTACCGCAAAAATGTTGTTTCAGTGCTTTTTCAAATTTGTTACCATGGCAACAATGATGTATTTTAGGATATTGTTATTTTTTTTTCTCTAATATTTATATTTTTGGTAATAAAACTTGTTACTGATGACTTTTACATTTGTGTTCACTAATACAGCAAAAATGTCAATATTGCCTGTTTTCGTGTTATTGACTGCTTTCAAAAAACACCTATTATTATTACAATTTAGTGACTTTCCCCCCAAAACCTATACTATTCTTACATAAGAGATATCTACCATGCTAAAAATCCATATAGCTTTATTCCTGCACATCTTGAATTTTTTATTGGCAAGAGAATACCCAATATTTCATCCATGGCAGTAATATGGCAGCCATTTTGAAACCCACTGGTAACCATGGCAACCCTTAAACATAAGTTACAACTATTCAAAAATCTTAAGTCACATATAATGGCTATATATCTGCAAATTTACAGTTGTAGTTGCATTCATATTCAAGGTATGCATGGTTTTCCACAACAATAGCTCTCCATGGGTATAAAGTGGTTAGCTCGGGAAGGGTTAAAATCAACTTCTATATAGCTTTTCAGACGGTAGATGGAATGGTATTCGTTAGTTTGTATTTATATTTATCTCAACTGTAAATACAAAATCTACACGCAGATAATGATAGTGAAAGTAGATGCGTTAATGGAATATGGAATATGACGTCACCATTTTGATAATGTAGCCTCATCCCAAACTTAAAGATGAGTTCCCGCGTACAAACTGGGTGATTTAATGGTATATATGGACCAAAAACATATTCAAACTAATTAATTTGTCATTATTATGCTTCAAATCCTTCTCAAACATTGTAATTGCGAAGAAATGCCCTACTATTAAAATTCGATCAAACCAGGTCATGTTTACGTCACGTCTTGGGAGTCAGAGGAGAATTCATTGCATAGCCTACATAAGACGATGTTGTCTTTAATCGCTTACTATTTATTACAAATATCAAATCCTAATTAAATTCTCGGATTATCCACTACCAGCACGTCTTTTCCCGGCATTTTTATCTCAGAAAGTATTGTACGTCTAACTCTTCATAAAGTTTATCAACTTGTACATCAAGCGCTCAATGTTCGCTTGTGACCTTTGACATCACGCGTGCAGCAGTTTCTAATCGTCGGGCTGTTGATTAGGGGAACCCTTACATTTTTGTCCTGTATACGCTCCATGAGTGTTTTTCGGGGAATCCAGTATTTTTCTAGTAAGATTGGATATCTCTACTTTCCATATATACCAAAATTGCCATACTTTTATTGGAAATAACCACCCGATAAATACTTTTCTGGGAACTCATCTTTAAGCTGCCTGTCTACAGCTAGCTCCGCCTATGACGTAGATGGATCGCTGCGTGCAGTTTGATGTAGCCCATCCCAAACTTAGGCTGCCCCAATAACGTCTATACTAACTAGACCGCGATGGCCAATCAGTGTTGACTTCCGGCAGTGGGTGAAAGTAAGTAGGTCAACTGGTTTCTAATGGGAATGCTCTCGATAATAAGACCTATTTAGACTTGGTTTTAATTTTCAATAGGAAATTTTAAAATCGGATAAAAATTATGACCTCTATATGATCCACAAGCTAAAAACGCGATTTTTCGTACAATTAGGGGCCATAATTCATGAAGTTACGGTCCGATATGCGCGAATATCGAAAGGAACCGAATCTTTGGGTTATAAACTTACATTTCAAGTTTCAACAAAATCGGATAAAAATTATGACCTCTACAGTGTTCACAAGCTAAAAACGTGATTTTCGTACAATCAGGGGCCATAATCCATGAAGTTACAGTCCGATACATGCCAATATCGAAAGGAACCGAGATCTTAGGGTGATTAACCTATATTTCAAGTTTCATTGAAATCGGATAAAAATTGTGGCCCGTAGACTGTTCACAAACAATTGTGGACAGACGGACGGACAGGGGCGACGATAATATACGTCCACATGAAAATGTGGACGTATAAAAATCGTATCATATCTTATTTTATACGGGTCCACAGAAAAAAATGGTTACCAGACCCTGTGTTTTCAGACGGAAGTTTTGACATGCGCAGATGATACACTTTTATGGAAGTCATCAAGGCGGGAACGATGACGACATGTCGATTGGGTTTGTAAATCACTATTGACTGTAAAAAATGAAAATAAAAGTTACCCGTAGTATCAGAGCTTATATAAAAATTTTGATGGTGGCGACAAGAATCACTTACGCCTATATGCCTACAAATAATACGCTATCGTTTTCTTTCGTTATTAGGCCTATCCTATAGCCTACCGATAGACCCTAGTCAGTACAGTAGTACTAGTAGTAGCCTACTTAGAGTAGTACCATCATTAATATTAATATCAAATTAATATAATTTATAATATTAATAATTAATAAAATGGACGTGTATCTATCTATCTAATCCGATCGGGTCCCCAACGGCGACTAACAACCCTTCGTCTGGGAAAATGAACCCTTTTAGTTTTGGCTTCGTCCCCTGGTTATCCACAGTTATCTACTCTAGATTTCAGACATAATAATGGCAAATGGGGCATTTCAGCTCTTCTTCAACAAAGACTTTATGAGAGGCTAATGTTTCGTCTTCTTCGGTCCAGTCAAGTAGGACTTCAATTGCAGTCTCTAGATCTACCGATAGGTCTACTCCTACAACTGGGAAAGTGGGATAAGACTAAGAGGGACCCCTGGATCAAGACATGAACCAAGCTGGTTCATGCACTTTACAAAGTGTGCTATCAATTCTTATCGTTTTTAGCTTTAGTAGGCCTATCTTCACGCAAACCGAGCTTGGAAAAGCCTAATTATTCGATTTTCATGATTGGGAACGGGCTCTGTTAGTCACTTTTAATAGTGTAAGGCACTGATGTGAAGTTGTTCATTATTCAAGGGCTAAATCTGCATAGGCCTATTGCGATTGCCATTTGATTTAATTTTAATGATTTAATTTAAAAATGGAAAAGCGAGGCCGAGTCTCGATTATAAACAATAAACAGTAATAAACAATTTTTGTCTCATCTTGACAAAACTTCAAACAGTGATAATTTGGCTGAGAATAAAGTAATATGAATGAAATTTTCTATATTATATTAATTTTGAAGTATCCATTTTGGAACTATTATAACAAGAACGGTCAGTCAGCTCTCTAAATCTTACAGCATCTGGTTCGCTAACTGGGGTTCGTTCATCATGGCGTTGAACGAGAAAGTTCCTGGTCATTTTCGGTGTGTTTCGCTGGTTTTCCTCTTGTTAGTGGTACAGTATTAGGGGGCCTGGCATAGGACAGTGTCTAGTCGTTCGGATGGGACGAAAAACTGAGTTCCAGTTTAGACGTTGGCGTGCACGTAAAATAACTCTTTACAGTTGGATTTCGAAATAACACGTATTACAATGTAAAAGTAACCCAACGATAAAATAACAAATCCCTTCCCTCAAAAACCTGTCATTTAGAAGGACAAAAAGTTGTTTTGCAATGCGTTCGGTTTTTAATAGTTATGGGAAGCAAAGGCCCCCATCACAGCTCGGTGTACAGAAATGTGCTGGGTTTTTTTCAGTTCCGCAAGTCTATAGTCCGTCTTCCATGTACGCGTTTTCACGCCGTTTAACGCTGTTTTCGCCGGTTACATGGAAACGGCTCCATTATAGTGAGAGACATTGGGTTTTAGTAGGCTACAGGGCTATTTAGCCTTAGCGAGGCGTTGGGTTTTCGTGGCGATTTTAGTAGCCAACAGGACTGTTTAGCATTGGGAAAAAACAAGACGTTAAACCCCATTTCATTTCAACCTTTGGTAATACATGTACATGTAGACATCCCGTGCTGTAGGGCTAGATCTATTTCTTAGTGCACGTGATTGTTGGCGAGATTGTAGGTTTGGGTAAGCGTTAGGCCTGGGTGAGAGCTAGGGTTGGGATTAGCGCAAGCGCTGTTTTCATCTCGTGACCTTTGACCAAACTTGAAATTGACCTTATGAAATAGATCTAACCCGTGCTGTAGGCTTCGTACTTTATTAAACGAAAATGTTTTTTTTTTCTGTTCTGTTTCAGATGGAGGGTTTAATCAACAACCACCTCCGCCCTCTTATGCACAAACTTATATGACGTCACCGGTAACCGGGAACACCCAATATGCAACAGACCAAGTAAATGTGCCCTTTCATACAGCAGTTGGACCACAGTGGCACAGTGGAAATTTAATGGTAATTCAATGGTTTTCTGAAGAGTTTAGACACTCGACTTACGCATTCCACAGGTAACGTTGATCAAAATCGGTGTGTCAATAGGTGTTTTATGGTCAATAAACTTTAATTTTTTTCAATTTTTTCAAAACTTTATCAGATAGTTAACGAAAAGCCATGCTGTCATCATCACTTGGTAAATCAGGCTTGCGTGCTATGAGGGAAATGTAGGGTACTGGCTGTACTGGAGTCTGTTGAGGTTTGCTGAGTGACTGCACGCTTCGGCAGTGGAGGAGGCTATTTTGAGATCATATGATCTATACTGAGCGCCATGGAAAACGCATCACTTTTTTTCCCAAATATTTTATTACTAGGTGGTTTTGTATGTATAATATTATGCAATACTATGAACTATTGTTTCACACAATGCTCCCAAACGCAAAAAATATCGGCCCGTGTGCACAAAAAAAAATTGCAAGAAATGCACATGAAAAACCCAATATTCACGTGCAGCATTGTGTGTGAGCCCTTTAAAAGCATGTTTTCAACTTAATGTGCAGTACATGAACTGTGAAACGTCAATCTGTCGTAATTTGTTGTTGGACGTGTGAAGGAATCGAGCTAGAGACTTACTGAAAATCAACGGAATGAAGCCATGGGCTGGCATGTCTACACGTGCTATTGCCAGACACTTCAATTGTCATCAGTCCAGTATTGTAAGGTTGGTGGAACGTGTTCGAGTTACTGGATCAACACGTGACCGTCAACGTCCTGGTCCACAACGCGTTACAACCCAGGCTCAAGACCGCTACATCCGGGTCACTCATCTGCGTGACAGATTCCGCCCAGCGACTCGAACAGGTGCAGCAGTCGTCGGAAGACAAGGACCAGTAAGTGTCAACACCGTATAACGTCGTCTAAGAGAAGTAGGACTCCGTGCACTACGACCTTATGTTGGATCTATCCTCAGGGATCATCACCGTCAGCGGCGTTTGATATGGGGCCAAGGACACCAGACATGGAGAAGAGTAGACTGGCAAAGTGTGCTCTTCAGTGATGAGAGTCGCTTTCATCTTTATCACGCTGATGGCCGTCAACGTGTGTGGAGACGTCTTGCAGACTGCTGCGTCTTCGAAGCGATTCGGTGGGGTGGGGGTAGTGTAATGGTGTGGGGAGGCTTCACATTTCATCTCCGGACCGCCCTACACATTTGCAGGGGTCGCGTTAATGCTGTAGCCTACCGTGATAATGTCTTGCAACCAATTGTTGTTCCGATGTTTCGAGCGCACCCACAACTTCAGCACTTCCAACAGGATAATGCACGTCCGCATACCGCCCGTTTTAGTATGGACTACCTGGCTGCTTTAGAAGCTGCTCTTGTCCAAGAATGGAACAATTTGCCCCAGGACTTTTTTCAAACATTGGTAAATTCTGTTTCATGATTGTACGGACGATGTGGACGGATTGGTAACACTGAGATATAAAATACACTATTTATGGTTCAGCCATCTTTAATCAACAAAACTTCCTAAATGGAGATAACTCTATTCTGCTATAAGCCAGGAGGGGTTATCTCCCATTTTACATGTTAATTCTAATACATAATAAAGAGTACAAGGAAAGCTTGTACATCATATTACATCCCTTTTGTTTTGGAATAAAAATAATTTTAAGCATTAGTAAATACTTCATTGATTACGCATATAGTTCAAAGCTTAATTTTTAACTTTTGCATGTAATAAATTTGATAATGAAAATTGAAACTTGAATAAAATTATATGAAATACTCTAAAATACTACTTGTTATTTTGTTATCACATTTTAGTGATCACATTTTATAACACAGTTTTTGGCACATGTTAAATGTCTAATTTCTTTGGTTTGGTTATAGTGCGACTAGATTTCTTTCTGGATGGTATGCTGCTATTGGCTTCTGGTTTTTGGTTGTTGAGTTGTATGGAGTGTTCTGGACCATTTTCAGAGGATCTCTGTTTTATGTGTCGTCTGTTTCTCCGATACGTTTGGTCATCTGATGTTCTGACGAGGTAAGATCTGTGTGGCAAAACACTGGAAATTATGCCAGGTGTCCAAGATTTGTTGTTGTCGCTTTTCTGGACGTACACCTTGTCGTTATGTTGAAGGTCTGGAAGCGGCTTAGCTGTTCGGTCATAAAAGCGTTTCTGTTGGGTTTGTCTGTTTTCTCGTGTGGCACATACATTGGCAGGATCTTGTATTTCAGGTTGGAGTTGTGTTTCTGTTACTGGGAGGATGGAACGTAGACGGCGACCCATTAGTAATTGTGCTGGGGAAGCTAAATTGTCTATTGGAGTCACTCTATATTCCAGAAGACTGATATATGTGTTTCCACCATCTTTCTTCGTTTTGTTTAAAATGTTCTTTGCTGTCTGTACACTTTTCTCAGCCAGACCATTTGATTGTGGGTACTTTGGACTAGACGTGATGTGTTTGAAATCCCAAGTCTTGGCGAAATTGTAAAATTCACTGGAGGAGAATTGCGGACCATTATCACTGATAACTATGTCTGGAATGCCGAAGCGAGCAAAGTTTGCTGATAGTTTACTGATAACTGCTGCTGATGAGAGAGAATGAAGTTTGTCGATCTCGAAGTATCGGCTGTAATAATCAGTGAGTACGATGTAGTTCTTGTTGTTAATGGTGAATAAGTCCGTGCATACTTTCTGCCAAGGTCGTGTTGGTATCTGATGTGGTTTTAGTGGTTCCTTCGTGTTGGAAGACTGTTTCTCGCCACATATTGTACAGTTGGTGACAATCTTCTCAATGTCTCGGTTCATGCCGGGCCAAAATAAGATGTCTCTGGCACGCTGCTGACACTTTTCTATACCAAAGTGACTAGAGTGTATCTTTGTCAACATTTCGGATCGTAGGCTCTTGGGAATTATTATTTTGTGTCCCTTGAATATAAGATTCTCCATGACTGTGAGTTGGTCTCTGTAATTCCAATATTCTTGTACCTCTGATGGGCATTTCTTGCGGTGTTGTGGCCATCCATCTAGAATAGTTGTTTTCAACTTGTTCATTTGTTGATCTGTTGTTATCTCTTTCCGTAGTTTTGACATTTTCTGACCACTAACTGGTAGGTTGGCTATTACGCTGTGGACTAGTAAATCCATTTCTTGAGACATGTTATCTGGTGGTATTGTGATGAAATTACGACTAAGTGTATCTGCTACAGGAATGTCCTTTCCGGGTACAAAGATAACGTTAATGTCGTATTTCTGTAGTTGTAGGAGCATCCGTTGTAAACGTGTTGGTGCTGTCGCTAATGGTTTCTTCATTATGGTTTGGAGAGGTTTATGATCAGATTCAACTGTGATCTGATGTCCGTATACCATTTGATGAAATTTTTTGCAACCAAATAGCACTGCATACAGCTCTTTTTCAATTTGAGCATAATTCTGCTCTGATGTTGTTAATGATTTTGAAGCGTATGCTATTGGTTTCTGCTCCTGCATAAGTATTGCTCCAAGTCCGTGTTTTGATGCGTCAACTTGTAGCGTGATATGTTTTGATGGATTGAAGTACGCCAGCACTGGTTCACTGGTGATTAGTTTCTTGACATGGTTTAAAGCGCTGTCATGTCTCTGATCCCAGTGGAATGCTATCGTCTTCTTCGTTAGTTCCCTTAATGGAGTTGTAATTTCAGAAAGTGAAGGCGAGAATCTGGCTAGGTAGTTGATCATTCCTAATATTGTTTCCAGTTCTTTCTTGTCTGATGGAGCCTTCATTTCGTCGATTGCCTTTACTTTCTCTGGATCTATTTTGATTCCATCAGCTGTAATAAGGTGACCGAAGTAGCTAACTTCTGTGGTCCCTATAACTAATTTGTCTGGATTCAATTTAACATTTTTCTGGCAACTTCTATTAAGAACTGCGAGCAAGTTAGCGTCGTGTTCTTCACGTGTTCTGCCGAATATTAATATATCATCTACGATCGCTATGCATCCGGGAATATCGCCATAGATTTCGTCAATCTTACGTTGAAAAACATCTTGAGCTGAGATGATCCCGAAAGGCATGCGCAGGAATCTGTATCTGCCGTATATTGAATTGAAAGTTGTTAGGTATGAAGAAGATTCCGTTAGCTTGATGTTCCAATAACCAGATCTAGCATCTAATTTGCTGAAAAACTTGGCTCCATTAAGTAAGGCAAAAGCATCATCAATAGTTTTAAGATGGTAATGAGGTCTTTTAATCGCTCTGTTTAGGTCCAGAGGATCCAGGCATATTCTGAGTTTTTTGCTGTGTGGTTTTTCTACCACGACTAACGAATTTACCCAATCTGTAGGTTCTGTAACCTTTTTAATGATGTTATTCTTCTCCATATTATCAAGTTCATTCTTGAGGCGATCCTGTATGGAATGTGGAACTCGTCTCGGAGCATGTACTGCTGGGACGGCATTATCTTCGATTTGAATTGTGACTTCGCCATCAAATTCGCCAATTCCTTTAAATATATTTTTGTATTCATTCAAAACGGATTCACGTGAGAGTGGAATCGTTGCTTCTTCGAGAGAAAATATGAATTTTACCAACTTCATTTTGGTTAAGAGAGGCAAGCCTAGTATGGGAGGACCTGTGGTATTTATGATGTAAAATTTATCAGTGGCTGATTTGGTTTTATAGCTACACTGTAAATCTATGAATCCGTGGACTTTTAATTGTTGTCCTGAGTATCCGGTGAGTCGCTCTTCTGTGTTCTTCAATAGAGGGGGGTTTGGAATTTTCTGGAAATGGTCGAATGGTAGGACATTGACTTGAGATCCTGTATCAATTTTGAAAGTTGTTGTTTGCCCTTGACCTATTTCCAATTTTACAAAAGCTTGGTCTTTTGGTGTCCCTTTGCCCTCTATAGAGTCAATATATAACTCGCTGACATCAGTATCCGAGTAGCTGTCATCATCCTGATCTATTGTGTGTATCTTTCTGTGATCTCTGTAATTGAAAGAACCAGAACGGCAAACAATTGCAAAATGATGCCATTTTCTGCATTTCGAACACTGTGATCCTTTTGCTGGACATCTTTGATGTTTTCCGTGCTGTTGACCACAGAATGAACAGCGTTCATCAGGTTGTCTGGAACTCTGATGTGATCGTTGCCTTTGGCCTTGTCTTCGGTTTCGGTTAGCATCACTGTGTTGCGATCTGTCAGTGTGCTTATGTCGGAACTTTGAAATAGCGTCTACTGTTTCTAGAGATTGCTGTGGCTGTGCTTTGGAGCTTGACATTGATTTAAGGTGAGATTGTGTTATTTCATGTGAACGACATACGTCTATAGCCTTTGTCATGTCCAACGTATCTCCAATATCGAGAAGTTTTTTCCTGACTTTCGAGTGCAGGATTCCACAGACAATTCTGTCTCTGACCATTTCTTGGGGCTTATCATAGGCACAGTCTTGAACCAAGAGCTGCAGGTCTGTTGTAAATTGTTCTATTGTTTCCCCTTCATGTTGTATTCTTGTCTGAAATTGATATCGGGCGAATAACGAACTTGACTTTGGGGTCACATACGAGTCAAATTTATCTAGAACTGAATTTAAACTTGCTGCTTCTTGTTCTGTAACTGTGAATGTGTTATAGATATCTCTGCCTTTCTCACCGGCCCAAATTAAAAAGTACGCACACTGCTCAGCCTGTGTTGCTTTCTTTAATGGTCCCATAAACATCAAACGGACGTGTTGCTTGAACTTTTTCCATGCTTCGGGAAGGTTCTTTGAACTCCAGTCTACGTTAGGATGCGGTGTAGAGGACATTGTTTTGCTAGTGTGTGTAAATCAGTTATGGCGCCGAAATTAGTGAGTTTGACAAAAAATGTTCCTGTATCTTAATTCCGCCCCATCTGTCGGAAATTCGTATTTTATAATGAGGAGTGAGGATTTCTTTTTAGTTTTGATCCATTCTGACACCATGTTTCATGATTGTACGGACGATGTGGACGGATTGGTAACACTGAGATATAAAATACACTATTTATGGTTCAGCCATCTTTAATCAACAAAACTTCCTAAATGGAGATAACTCTATTCTGCTATAAGCCAGGAGGGGTTATCTCCCATTTTACATGTTAATACTAATACATAATAAAGAGTACAAGGAAAGCTTGTACATCATATTACAAATTCCATGCGACGTCGCTGCACAGCGTGCGTAAGAGCTCGTGGAAGACACACGCGCTACTGACATCTGTGTCGTACTTTTGGTTTTGAGCCCTCTGACTTGGTATCGTTGATTACAGATTAAACATCCATAAGTGTACAAATGTGTTGTTATTGATGTGTTCCCATTTGAACATTGTTCACAATAAGAAGCAAAATAAATAAGATATGTTTACAGGATCATTTTATACGAAAAACTAAGTGATGCGTTTTCCATGGCGCTCAGTATATATGATGTCTCCGCTTGGCCTATGAAATTGGTTAGCTCGACAATATACGTTTGTTAGATCTGTTTGATGAGGCCAACTTCAAGTTTGGTCCAAGGTCACGAGATGTAAACAGGGCTAACACTAACGCTTATCCTAACCCTAACCTACAATCTTGCCAAAAATCACGTGCCCTAACCTTACATCTCAGCGATCTTGACGAAAACGGAGTTGGCCTTAACTAACAAATAGATCTAGCTCTGGACACGGAGTGGATATACCGGCGAATCGATTGTCGGCGTCGGGCGTAAATATTCGGCCGAAAATATCTGGCGGACAGACGAGCCTATTTTTTCGCCCGATCACGACGATTTTTAAAATCGCTCGGAAAAAATCTCCCGTGTGCCCCTTCACAGCGACGACGATTCTGCTCGGCGAACCATTCGCCCGATCAATCGATCGCTCGTATCTAGCATGTTAGATATTTTCGGCCGAATATTTTTCGTCGGGGATCAAATTCGCTCGTGTGCCCGTGTCCAGCGTATATTGTCGAACGATTCATTTTTATAAGCCAATCGTCGACATCGTGATATGACATGATCTCAAAATGGCTGCCTCCACTGCTGAATCATGGAATCTGATGAAAGAAGGAAAATTGGTCACTCTTTGATCCGAAAGGCCTTCCTTTTTTGATCTCACCATGGCAGAATACCGGAATCTTGCAATAGGAATAAAAGATTTGTCTACCGAGCTCTTCTACGTATTCTGTGTGAAGGAGCAAATCAATAGCACTAATAGCAGTTACTGCAACAATCTTACGTTCTCGGCGATTCGCCATTTTGTGCAAGTCACGCGATAGTCATAATTACTGACAGAGTGGCGTACACTCTCGAGACGATCGCTACGTGTGCCCGTTCGTTATCAGCCGTAAAAAAATCGCTGGCGAATTTCAGTCGCCGCGATCAGGCGAAAACATACGCTTGTCTGTAACATGCTAGATATCGGCGAACGGTCCGGCGAATTGTTCGGCGAGCTGAATCGTCGTCGCCGTGAACGGGCACACGGGCCATTTTTTCGAGCGATTTTACGTATAAACTATGTATCAAATCAAAATCTATTATCCTTTTATCCTTCGTTTAATTTCAGAGATGTGGATTGTTCAGAAAACAATTTCAGGTCTTAATAGGGATTGTTATTTTCATTGTAATAACGGTGCTGATGGCTACGTATTATTTTTGGAAAAGGCAACAGTTCATGGCAATCATGGGTTAATGGAACTTTGATGAAGCATAGAATAGATTCTACAAATACCTAAAAAAAAAATTTCCCTTACTTATATGAATACAAGAAATGTCCAAAAGAACTGCTGTCAAGGTGATGGATATTTGGTTGATATGGATTATAATAAATACTTTTAAACAATGCTTAAAAAGTGTTAGTAGCTGAACTGCGGCGGCATACAGTGATTGGGCATACATATTTCAGTAAATTGGTGTGTGTGTGGGGCGGGGGTGGGGCAGCGGGAAAGGCACTGGATTGCTACCCTTGAGGTTTCGGGCTCGCTGTGGTATTGGGACAAAAAGTCCACGGGATTTTCTAACCTGGCTTTCCCTTGTCAGTCGTGCAGGGCCGGATGCGGCCTGGCTAGTCACAGCGTTTTGTCGTTCGGATGTGATTTAAATCCAACGTCTCGTGGATACGTTTTTGTGCACATAAAAGGATCCTAGAGACATAATTGGATTTCGAAATAAGAGTTGGCCGCAGCGCCGCTGTCCGGGTAAAGGGACGTGGGGCCTATATGTCCGTCTTCGGTAGCCCGGTTGGAGCAGAACGGTAGATCATTTCCAACAAACTCCAGATCATAATACGACTAATATCACATTCGAGACTCCTTTGATAAAAATGCCAATCACGGAAAGCGTTGTCAGTAGCGTAGCCCAGTCAATAGCCCAATCAGTGCAAAAATGTAGGGCGTTAAGCCCCCTGTCATTTTGCCCATCCCCTATATATTAATTAATAATTCATCGTTTAAATCATTATATTTTATTTCCACTCTGATCACTATTTAATATCCCAGGATTTAACTACTTTTGTGTTTTATTTTTGAACGAAACTATCCTTCTGTATATAATTTTTTTTATATTCGTGTGTTCTGAGGGAAATTTTGCTGTCCAATCCTGATATTCTTCTTAGGCTACTTTTAGTGAGTCATCATTTTAAACTAGTCTTTGTAAACCTTCAAAATAAATGACAAGACGGTTTTACAGTAAGCGAGGCTTTTCGTGTCTGTGTGTTCTTCTTTTTTCATGTCAATCATGTGCCCGATGAGAAAACTGTAATTGACACATTACCTCGACTGGATGCACCGCCGGTGTTTTTGTACTGGATGACAGAAGCTACCTTGTGTTTTAAGATTAAGAAGTTTTGACATGCGCATCTATGTTACAATTTCATGGAGAATCAACAAGGAGGGAACAATGGCAGGCCGTTTAGGTTGGTTATCACTATTCACAGTATAAATAACAATAAAAGTTAGCTGTAGTATCAGAGTTTACGGCAAGAATAACTTATAGGTCTGCTAACCGTTATTATCCAAATGGGCGCGTATCTGATCCTATCGGACACGGTCGTCAATGACCTCAGCTATGCCTAGTAGTAGTACTGTACTCAGTACTGTGTAGGCTACTACTAGTACTAGGCTACTTAACTCTAGGCTACTTACAACTTGCCAAAAAATATTATAATAAAAAACTGAAATGGTCCTGTTGAAACCCTACATCATGAATTGAATAATGCATTTCCCCAATGAGCATGATATACCATCTTAACATCTTTCATAAAACGTATTTATTTTTTCAAAGTCGATACTCAATGCAGAGAAAACCATTGGCTTCATCCCCGAGTTTTTAGGGACGAGAGTACGTAGTTTTGCTTGTCCTAAACGTTTTCATTTGTCACAGCATAATTATCTCTAAATCTACCTAGGCCTACACCGACAACAGGGAAAGTGGGAAAAGAAAAGCACCCGTGTATACGGCATGAGTAAGACGACCGCCGAACCATCCTTCAGAACCAGTCGAGGTCACGCACTTTTAGTTTTTAACTGAAAGACACATTATGGGCGATTAGATAAAGAGCTGGTAGTTCTCAGTCAAATTGATCCACTATGAAAGTGGGGAGAGAAAGGCACTCGTGTACATACGGCGTGAGTAAGACGACCGCCAAACCATCCTTCAGAACCAATCGAGGTCACACACTTTTAGTTTTTAACTTAAAGACACATATGGGAGATTAGATAAAGAGCTGGTAGTTCTCACTATAATAGTTAAAAACTAGATACTGTAAAGGGAATCTGCTGAAAATTTCAGTCAAATTGATCCACTATGAACCGAGATTTTAGAGATTGAATTTTCGGCCTAGCGTCGATCATCATTACTAAAGTCGGTAGAAAAAAACCATAGTCTCGATTATCCAATTCACGATTTAATTATGAATGGAAGTCGAACAGCAAATCGGAAACTAATCCAATAAACATCGCAGGGTAGTGATGCCATCGAGAGTTGATTATGGTCTCGATAAGTTAATTAATGTCTAATCAATAATTTAGATAACATTTCAGGCCTAAAGAAAGACCTGCAATAGGCAGATTTAGCTCTTTCATAATGTAATGTATGTTTAATGTAAACTATTCGTTTATTGTTTTCAATTTTGAGGCCTAGTTCGGTGATTGGGAACGCGCGCTTTACTAATAATAAATGATAATGTATTCTGTCAAGTGTGGTTCCATAGAGTAAGGCGCTTGCTCACTGCTCCGTGGGTGGGGTGGGGTACCGTACTAATGATCTAACGCGTGCACTTCAGATTATAAGGTCTGTCGTAGCGCCGATGAACTAATCCCTCTTTCGTCAAATAATATTAAGGTACCGGCACCGACGTGTGTATTTTATCTACGCGTGTTAAAATTAAAATTAACTATCTAAACGAAACGATAAAATAACAACGGGGTTGTTTAGCATTGAAAAAAGTAGGACGTTGAATTGAACCCCATTTCATTTCATTTCAACCTAAAGTAATTGACATTCATAGGCGTCGTACTTTATTGAACGAAAATGTTTTATTCTGTACTGTTTCAGATGGAGGGTTTAATCAACAACCACCACCCACTTATGAGCAAACTTATATGAATTCACCGGTAACCGGACAAACCCAATATGCAACACACCAAGTAACCGGTATCCCCTTTCCACCTGCATTAACACCACATCCACAAAGGGAAAATTTAATGGTAACTGTAAACACAATAGAACTTGCTTTCGATGTTATTGTTATGTTCATTAACCCGTCGTCAAATGACAATGTGTTCGTCATGTAAGATAAAGCGATCTCGTCATTTAATCACGCTAAGACTTAGATATCACCATAGAGGCAAGTGGAATATAAGTTAGCCCCTCGAACGAACGAACTCCGATCACCAGCATTGATTTTCCCAATATATGCTAGATTGCTAGTACAGTGCTAGGACTATCTAGGAAAAAGTGCTAAATTTTGGATGTTTGGGTTTGGTCCGGTTCACTGATTTTAATTGCTTGGTATGCTGATCTAAACAACATGTCCGTCTTGAGTAGCATTGCCCTAATATAAATTACATAAGCGTTGACAACTATTAACCGGCCAGTGGGAGTATCAAATAACTTAACATTTTAATTTCTAAAATAAAAATCTCATTTCATATAAATCTTTGATATGAGTTGTTTAGTCTTCCAAAAACCAAGTTTTATCATGCTGAGCTATTTTTGTACGCCCATATTTTCAAGTGGACGTGTATTGAGTCGCCCCTGTCAGCCCACAATTTATTTGTGGACATGCGGTTCCTTTTGATATTGGCATTTTATCCAATATTAAAATCTGTTCTAACATATCACCATTCCACCCTTATGATGGTTGAGTTCGAATTTCATGAAAATCGGATTGAAACTGCCCGCTCCTCGTTCGCAAATAGTATAAAAGTATATAATACCAAGGTTGTGGACACTGTAGAAGTCACAATTTTTTTATCCGATTTTGATCAAACTTAAAATATATGTCTATATTCCACGGATTTTTGTTTCTTTCCATATTCGCACATATCGGTCCGTAACCTCCTAGATTATGGACCCCGGGTGTACCAAAAATTACAGTTTATACCCGATTTTAAAAACCGTTTAAATATACACCGTTACACCCTGGGTTTGAATTTTGTGATAATCGGATCGAAGGCTGTGGTCCCTCTAACGATTTGTATCCGGTTTTGTAAAAACATAATATTATATGTTTATGTATCAAAGATCTCGGTTTGATGTTCGCGTATATTGGGCCTAACTTCTTGCCTTGTGGCCCCTATTGTACGAGAAATTGTAAGAATAATACTACGAGTTCTTGATGTGGAAATTTACACGGAAATATTTATTTATGGCTAGGGATATGATATCATATCTTTCTTATCTAAATTATATCCTGGTTATATATATTATATCCTGGTTATATATATATATATATATATATATATATACTATTCAAAAAAAGTAGGGGATATTTGATTTTGGTCGCATAATACTAAAATATGCAAATGACTACGAAAAAAGTCACTATAGAACCTAACAGAAGAAACATTTCCAGTTACATGTGACGCCCAAACGCACCAATAGCTACCGCATGGAATGCAGGTGATGCTTGGGATCATCATGGGGGTCCAACCCAAGATTTGCACGACTCTGACTTTGAATGTTACAGTCATTGTGGCATTGAATTCCAGGGTGGAAACATCAGTTTAATTGTTTTAGTGACCAGAAAACAAATTTTGATATGCGTCGGCTTACCCAAAATGAAAGGTTACGTGCCCTTGGCATGCTACAGATCGGCACAACACAGGCGGTTGTGGCGCGGACGATGAATGTTTCTCAGTCTGTCATAAGCAGGCTATGGTCCAGATACCGTGATACACAATCTGTACAGGACAGACCACGCTCAGGTCGACCAAGGGCGACAACTCAAGCCCAGGATCGATTTATCCGTACCTTGGCCTTGAGAAATCGTGTCATCACAGCAAATCAGATCAGCGCTCGTCTTCAAACAGACACTGGTGTGAGAGTGAGTGGCCAGACGATTCGGAATCGACTGCATAGGGGTCACCTTCGCGCCCGACGTCCTCGCGTGATCCCTTGTTTGAGAGATCATCACATTCAGGCAAGACGTCGTTGGTGTAGGGATCGTCAACACTGGGATAATCGACGCCGGAGCAATGTGATGTTTTCAGATGAGTCAAGGTTCACTGTTGATTTTTTGGACAGACGTAGGAGGGTGTGGCGTCGTCGAAACGAGCGCTTCCAAGACGTTAACGTCATCAGACATGATCGATTTGGGGGTGGTTCTGTTATGGTGTGGGGAGGCATCACTGTTGCTGGAAGAACGGTTTTACATGGTGTTGCAGGGCGTGTTACAGGCCAGTACTACCGGGACAACATCTTGGCAGTCCATGTTGTGCCGTTCGCACGACGTCATGGCCGCCGTTTCATCTTCCAGGATGACAACGCAAGATGTCACAGGGCCAGGATCGTTACAGGTTACCTCCAACAACAGAACATCACCACATTACCTTGGCCAGCACTGAGTCCCGACCTTTCCCCCATCGAGCATGTCTGGGACATGCTTGGACAGAGGTTACGTCAACGTCAACAACGTCCTGCCAATGTCCAAGAACTTGCTGCTGCGTTGCAACAGGAATGGGACAATCTGGACCAAAATGACCTTAGACGTCTCATTAGGAGTATGCCACGTCGGATCAATGCTTGTTTGGCAAACAGAGGAGGATTTACCCGTTACTGACTTGGTTGTGATGCTGTGGTAACTTTGCTGTTTGACCCCGGGTATCATTTTACCCTTATAATGGTCAGTCTGTGCCTTACTTAGTCTAACGATCATTTGGAATAAATCGATGAATGTGAACTTCATTTCATTTTGTCATTTGTTTCTTCGTCAGTTTCATTAGGTGACTTTAATAACACTTAAAAATCAAATATCCCCTACTTTTTTTGAATAGTATATATATATATATATATATATATAAGCAGGATCTAATTTAGATAAGAAAGATATGATATATCCCTAGCCATAAATAAATATTTCCGTGTAAATTTCCACATCAAGAACTCTGTGGTGACAGAAATGAAATGAAATGGAGTTTTAACGTCCTACTGTTCTGCTCCTAACCTGGGCTAATGAAGACGGGCATACGCCATACAGTGTGCTATGAGGGAAATTTTGCCCGGACAGCGGCACTACGGCCTACTCTTATATCGAATTCCAACTGCCAAGGGATCTTTTACGTGCACGCCAATGTGTACACGGGACCTCGGTTTTTCGTCCCATCTGAACGACTAGACAGCTTTCCTTGTCAGCCCCTCCGTCCTGCATCACTGACAAGGGAGAACCACGCCGGAAACTCTGAATGAACTTTCTCGGCCAATGCAGGGATCGAACACCCGACCTCCAGGCTAGCGAGCTAGCGTCTTACCCACTTAGCCACGTGATCCCCCTGTGGTGACAGAGAATATAAGTAATATTGTTATAATACATTATTAAAGGTGTACTGTTTTGTTGACATTGACAATAAATTCGCGTTAACAAAATAGTTTATAAAGTCTAGTATTGATGGCGATATTAGCGACCTTTGATTTTGGCTTGCTGTCGTACTGTTGTCTTTTCGCCTCAGAAGTTGATGTAGTCTCTACTTTCAAGGTCACTTTTCGACTTTCGTGTTTTGAAGGGGCGAAAAGTAGAAATTATAAATGGTAGTTATAGGCTTCCATAAGATTGTAAGACAAAATAAACATTTTACCATTGGTTCACGAATGCCTTTAAGTGCCATTTATAACAAGGGACTAGAAGGACGGGGCTAGATATATTCCACAAGTAACTCAAACGGTTACGTCATATTCCTATCTGGAGAGCATGCGCAATAAATACTAAATCAGTTTATGTACATTCATATTACATTATTATTTGTGTTGCGAACCATTTGTGTCAATTTCTAGGTCCTAAATATTAGCGATTTAGATCTTTTAAATAACAAATACATGTAGATTGTTTTGGGGTGACCTTTTCCCTGTATGTAAATAATCAGTAAATGTTCATATTTTTGCACCAAAATAGATAATTTTGGATCAAATTTTATTTTACTGATAATTGATAAGTTCGTAAATAGTATTGTACGATGGATCAATAGGCCATTAATATTTTGATATTGGCCCCTTTCTATAGAAATCAATATATAATTGGCAAGAGTTATACAATCGTAATGTGCTCAACAACCCTTGTTTTACTTATGAATATTTATCTCCCCAAGAAAAAGTTCCAAAATCATTTAATTGGTTAACATCAAATTGGTCAATATCAAAGTATATGAGTAAAATAATTTAAGATATTTTATACCCTGGCTTAGACAAGCTGCTGTAGATATTACATCAAATTAAAAAGCTTATTATTACATTATGTAATATTTGAATCAATTTTTTTAAATTTTATTAAATTGTTATTAAATTTGTTTATTTCTGTGTTTAATTTGATTAGTTTTTTTTAGAATCTAATTCCAAACCCATCTAGCTTTAGTGTTACATTCTAAATATAGAGCAGTGTAATTATGACACTTATACAATACACCATCTGAATAGATAATAATTGGGCTACAATTTATTGTCTTCGAGAGGTTGATGACGGGATTCTCTTCAACAAATCTTTGAGGTCACATTCCCAAACTTGAAGAAATCTGGCTGATTTCTAGTTGATCTTAAGACTGAGTATAAAAAGTTGTCTTCTGCTTGGGTAAGGCCATGAAATCTGTATATTTTAATTTTATTTTACTTTACGTCGGTGGGGGGTTGGATGGCCGAATGGTTAATACGTGTGCGCTGTATCATAAGGCCTGCCATTGAGTCACCTGGCGTGGTTTCGAATCCACGGTTGTACGTGACAAGGAGTAGGGTCGCCTGTCCAACCTAGTAGGTTTTCTCCAGGTCCCAAAATGACCTAGTTTGTGTCGAGTGGACGTTAAACCTCATTTTTCTCTCTCTCTATCTCTCTTTACGTCGGACTATCTGAACTACTATCTAAACTTTCATTTAATTTCAGGGACCTCAACTTGGACCGTGTGGTGGGACTGGCATATCCAGAAAACAATTTAATATCTTATTAGGGTGTGTACTTTTCATTGGAATGGTGATGTGGACTACATATTATTTTTGCAACAGGCAACAGGACGTAACATGTTTACCATGTGTTAATGGAACTTATATTTAGATGAATTCAAGAAATACTCAAAAGAACTGCTGTCAACTTGATAGATATTTAAATGATAGATCGTAATAAATGCCTTTAAACAATGCTTAAAAAGTCAGTAGTTGCACGTCTTTCCTGTCGAGCGGCTGCAGAATATACAATGGTTGGGCCTACATATTTCAGTAAGATGGATGGGGGGGGGGCGACAAGGGAATCTAGAAGAGAACTAGTACCAGAATTCGTCAAAGAAAAAATATTAATTACCCCAATAAACTCTTGGGTGGGGTTGAATCGGTAAGGCGCTGACCCGCTATATAACCAGGAGGTCCCAGCTTTGCGCAGCGATGTTAGCTGAGCAAGGTTCACAGAATTTTCTAGTCTTGCGGGGGGGGGGGGCTGACGAGGAACAGCGTTTTGTCGTTAGGTAAGACCTAAAACCAAGGTCAAGGGTCCTTGACAGTTGGTGCACGAGATAAGAGTAAGCCGTAGCGCCACTGTCCGAGTGAAAATGTAACTAATGTACACTGCATGGTGCATGTCCGTCTTCATCAGCCCGGCCGGTCATTTCATTTCCAACAAATTCTAGAAATTGTAATACAATTAATATCACATTTATTAATCCTTTGCTGAAAATGCCAATGAATGAAACGAGACTTAGTCAATGGAATCGCCAGGAAATGTTGTCAGGCGTTGTCAGTAGCGTAAGCTGTCCGAGCGAATCTCCCCGTTTTCAAAAGACCAGTCCGTGCAGAAAAGTAGTGCATTAAACCCCATGTCATTTCGCCCACCCCCTATATTGATCTATCTCGAGGCTCATTATATTTCATTTCCACTCTAATTCAACTTTTAATTTCTCATGATTGAACTACTTTCGTCTTTTATTTTTTAATGAAACCGTTACGAGACTTGCATTCTGAATTCCGTTGGGGCAATCCTAGTAGTATATGAAATTAAAAGAAATACACCATTAATTTGACTGGACAGTCCTGATATTCTGCTTATTGAGCCGAGCAAGCACCGTACTAGCTGGGCCTTGTTAGAAGTAAAGGATGGAGGCCTGAAATGAATTGGAATAGGGTTTAACTTCCTACTTTGGGAAAATAACATTATCGAAAGAACCCCATGACAGGTCATATATTATGTTTGCATGACATTACTACTAATGTTGCCTCGGTAAATTCTGGATATGGGTACCATGCATAAGGCGCCTATAACACATCTCAGTCTAAGAATGTTACAATAATTTAAATATTAGATGCCCCGTTTTTAAGCCTATAGCAGAGTTAATCAATAACAGTATCATATACAAGGAGTAGGGTCGCCTGTCCAACCTCGTGGATTTTCTCCGGGTCCTCCGGTTTCCTCCCACTGCTAAAGACCCCTACGCGCAAGCGAATTATTGAAATAAAATTAAACCATATGTTGGTCCCAAAATGACCTAGTGTCGAGTGGACGTTAAACCCCATTTCTCTCACTCACTCACAGTATCATATGATCTTGACTAGTCACTTGATCTGTTGTGTGCAATCCATAAACTGTCGCCTGCATATTTTGTGTACGCCCACATCAGATTGCCCAACAATTGCTTGTTGCTTCAGCAAACAAATATAACAGCTTGTGTGTGTTAGGCTGAAACGAATAGCCACTTTCTGCCAAGCTGGGCTAACGGAGACCGGCATAGGCTGTGGCCCTACGCAAATGTATACACAGAACTGCCGTTTTCCATCCGAACGACTCAACACTGTTTCACTAGGGCCCTTCGCCCTGCCTGACTGACAAGTGGAAACCATGCTGGATATTCCACTGGAAACTTTCTCAGAAGGCCAGATCAAACCCACATCCTCCTGGTTAGTGAGCTGGAGCTTGACTTACTTAGCCAACATGGCTTCCACTCCCTGCCAAACATATAATAGAGAATAGAAGATATTTTGATATAATTGTTTAATATACAACATCCAATATATTTATATTATTATATATATAATATCATAAAGCATGCGGTGTTGTGACTATGAAATACTAATAATTACATATATATATATAGATCTATATGTAAGAGTAAATATATAACATAAAATAGATTATTGCATTAATGGCAGTAGTATTGTAAAATGTAAGATGACAAATGATGACTTTCTTAATTATTACAATTAACATAATTCTGAACATGAATGCAGCACTATTCTTTTCTCTAACTATTTCAAGATACATTCCATTGAGACCTGCGATTTTAATTTGATCACCATCAATTAAAGGTGAATGTATATTTGCTGTCCAATGCTTTTTGTGGGGATGCCCCTTCTATTACAAATATCTTTAATTACATACAACTCTCTTTGAATGACCAAGCAACGCTTCTATGTGTGCAAATCATAACCATTTCACCCAGTATGTAGACTGCACTATTGTCAAATCTAACGCTACTGGTGGACAAAATACGATATTGCTCTGCTATTTAGTTTGTGTGGCTATTAATCATGGATTATAAGCACGGTTCCCTATAAAGTGTGTGCATGTGAATACAGGTTTTGCAAATGCACAAGGAAATTAATGTGCACACAATTATCTTGAAACAATTTCAAGTTTACATTTGTACAGATATCTTGTGCACATACTAGTATAAACTTTACACATCATAAATTTTTTTAGCACACTGACTACTAAAGATTTAAAGGAACATTATTGGTCATAAGAGATACTATATTTTCTGTTAACCCCTTAGCACTTTGTTCATGTGAATATTGACAACCCCAGTACATGTACCTTGAAGAAAATTAGACAAAAATTATATATTATTAATACCGGTACATTTCTGAACAAGCCGAAACTACTGTCCTCTAGACCACCTTATACTGGCCAAGGTTATAGGACCATATACATGTATTAGTTCTTGGGGCTCCACAGCTATTCACATGTTTCAGGCAGTCTAAGGAGCATGAGTTACAGGCAGTAAAAGTGCTAAAGGGTTAAAAATAAGTTTTGAGATTGGACAACAATATTGCCCGGTTTTAATATTTTCTACCAGGGGTGTATTCAATACTTATTGTTAAGTAAATCAGGTGTTCTATCATTTGACCAAGAGCTTTGGTGACAAATATACCATACACTGATTATCTAATGAAGCTCAAGGGAACATATCTTTAATTATCTAACTATTTAATCTCATAATGAAATGAAAACAATTCATACGATTACATGGAATTATAAATCCAAATGACATTCTCGTCTGTCTGTACAATATCTCTTTAAAAAATAATCATTCATACAATTAAACAAGAACAAAAACTAATGGTACGAAATTCAGTTTAACAAATAATTAAAAACAAATCAATGCCTATGGAATTCTGAGGTAAAATTGGATTACGAGATACGACTAGATTTGACTACGTCTGTGTAAAATATTTGGCATTTAAAAAAATTTTTTTTAAAAAAAGCTATACATGATTACTTTGATGGAATTCTAGATTTAGCACAACAATGAAATGGATGATTGATGACTATCTGACACATGATTCAGGGAGAAGTCAGATGAACATGATGAAAGTCTCAAGGCAGGCTATGAATGGTCATTTTTGAGAAGTTCATCTGAGGGAGGTGTCTGTTAAAAATCTCAAGGCAGGCTATGACTGGTCTCTTTTCTGGAAGGTCATCACTTAAATTATTTAAACATTCATCATTTTGTCAAGTCAAACAGTCCTCCGACTCCTCTCTTAAATTGATGTATGATGCTATGAATTTTAACTTTTTCAGATGTTCATCTGAGAATGGTGAATGTTAACTTAAAGTAGCTAATTCTCTAACTCAATATCATCCAAAATCTTCGACATTGTAAACACGATTTATTCGTCGGTTTAAATCAACATTGATGTTGTGATCTTACCGTGAAAAGATGGCCTTCTGATATTCAATATTTAAGACAAAATAAACATTTTACAGTTGGTACACGAATCGTGTACCATAATGTGTTTCAGCGCTATTTGTAATAAGGGACTCGTAAAAAGAGGCTAGGCATATTCCACAAGTCATGTCAAACGGTGACACTATATTCTTATCTGGAGAGCATGCCCAATAAATACCATCGGCGTAGACTGGAATAACCAGAAGCTAGAGATTGAAATTCGATTGAGAATACTGGCGTATGTCGCCGAACCTAACTGATTAGAAATTACAGTAAAAAATAAATGATTGAATGTAAATCAATTTATATACATTCATATTACATTATTGTATGTGTTGCAAGTCATTTGTGTCAATTTCTAGGTCCAAAATATTAGCGACTTAGCTCCTTTAAGTTCATCACTTAAAAAAAAATACTTAAACATTCATTATTTTTTCTTAAATGAAAACAACCCTCTTTCTCTTAAACTGATGCCTGATACTATGAATGGTAACATTTTCAGAATTTCATTACTTAAAAATATGTAAACAATCCTCTCTTAAATTTATGCCTGATATAATTGTCTTCCTTGTGGAAAGACCCCAAGTTATCAATGTTTAACATTGTTCAATTTGAGACCGACACGGTCATTTTTATATATGATTAGAGATTCACATATGATATAAGAATGAATTAAAATGTAAATAAATAAAGTTAATAAGTAGAATTTGAAATCTGATAACAGACCTAAATTTGACTGAAATCTAATATCAGACTAAAACAGACCTAAATTTGTAAATAACACATAGAATATTGGTAATACAATTACCACATTACTTCATAAAAAATTCATTTTCTTTCAATGTGAAATATGTGTGACCTAAAATGAGGTAGGGTGCCTAAACTGCTGTGATCAGCAGTTAAAGATGATACTCAAAAGATTTTCTACTATTTTAGCAACAAAGTTTGCTAATGACCCATTTCGACAGATTAAAATCACATACTGAATTTATATAAACAATTATTCTTTACAGATCTAATCTATAATCTTATCTGCTTTGTATAAGAAGTCAATAAGTTTTAAAGTGTAAAAATGTTAAAATAATTTGCCTATTTTTTTCTGCCAGAATCATAAAAGTTGCTAACCTCTTATTTGATATAAGACAGAGTTAACATTGATTCTGACTGAGTTTTTTGGTGTGGACAATATCTGATTATTTTTCATGCCTTAATCAACACTAAAATGTTTATTGTTTATTTAGCATTTAATTAAGAAAACAAACCCAAATATCAATAGTAGATACCTCCCTACTTGGATTTAATCAGATTAAAAAGAGGACCATCAAAAGATTTAACCCAACACTTACAGGTGGTGCTGGATGTCGAATGTTTCGAATTTCATTAAATCTTTGTAAACGGAATTCAAACATTTTAGTGATATTTGTTTTAAAGATTCAAATTTCACCATACATGTAATGTAGTTTGCAGGAGATTCATAATTCTTCAAATAAGAATCACTGGCTTGAATAAAGCGTAATGCATCTGAGAACAATTAGATGTACATTCTAGACATTAACAAGTAGCCTATTATGGATCAGGAACCGAGCATGGCGTCATTGCCACACATCTTGGAATTGTGAAGTAACCAATGCACAATTGTTCCAGAAACAATCATGCCAAACTGATGTTGATTGTGCGTCGAAGAGCATTGTCCCCCACACCAAGAAGAACAAGAAGATGAATAGCGCATCAGGATCGGTTCCTGGTCCAAAAATTTTAACATTTACATGGCTATTTTACTCTACAAATTGTAAGTACAATCTTATATGAAACATGAATACTGATGCACAGACAATTTATATAATTCAATGACTACTAAAAAATTGACTAGTTTATCTTCCGGAAGACTGGACATAAGCAGCTATATTTAGGAAGGAATCATCAGATTGAATGAGGACCTCCATGTCCTCATTAACTTCCTGTCGATCAGCTGCCACTTGGATTTGCTTTATATGAGTACTCATGTGCTTCTTTAAGTCTGATTTAAGTACAAAAGATTTGGCACAAACCTCGCAGTGGTGAGGTTTCTCACCGCTATGGGTTTTCATATGATATTTAAAACTACCCGTATCATTAAAACCCTTTTCACAAATATCACAACGATATGTCTTTTCCTCGTTATGAACCTGCTTGTGCCTTTTTAATGCCCAGCTGGATTTAAACCCTTTTAAACATACATCACATTTATAGAATCTCTCAGCACAATGGACATAGGCTACATGTTTTCTAAGGTTACTTCTTTTGGAACAGGAGAAATTGCATTTTTCGCACTGATGTGGGCGTTCAGGAGACAGGGTGTGTAGTGGATAGGTATATTTTTCATTTTCTTTCTTTTTTAGCATTTTGGGTGATGGTGGTGAGTTTGTCTCTCCATTGGTAACAGAACCAGTGAGATTTGAATTATCAGTTGACGAATCGTCTATAGTGATAGCAGTATCATCTTTAACATCAGATTCAGCTTGGCTTGTCTCACTAACTGGTTTACTTACACCATCTGGTTTAGCTGCTGTTGCTTTTACACTACCAGTGCTTTCTTTTTTATCCTTTAAATGGGTTTTAAGATGTTTATCCAAATCTTTAAGAGCGAGATAGGATTTAGGACAAATATGACATTTATGTGAGCTAGCGCTGTGGTAAATCAGTTTATGCCTGCGGAAACCACTGTTATCATTGAAACCGCGCTGACATTCCTCACACCAGTATTTCTTGACGACTGAATGGATATTTTTGTGTCGGTTTAAGTCGCTCTTTCCACTAAAACCCTTACCGCAAACATCACAGATATATGGTTTTTCCCCGGTGTGTGACCTCATATGGAGAACTATATTTGAATGTTGACCAAATGCCTTCGAACAGATGCCACAAATATACGGCTTGCTCTCCGTGCAATCTTTCCTGTATTCAAATTTGTTTTTAAGGGATTTTGATTTGAATCCTTCGCTGTTTGAGCTGCAACTTCCTTCCTCCATCCCATAATAGTTTGTGTCGGAGGCGGATCCATTGTTGGTGAATGTAAAAGCCTCCTCACCGTACAGACACATCAAATAATCTCGAAGTATGTCGTCCTGCGACTCATTAGCAGAATAATCGAAGCCATTATTGTTTGTAGAATTATTGTTATTGCCGTTTAATGAGGTATTGAAACGTTGTGAATTTAATGGATTTGTAACTAAATGTTTGTCTCGTCGACCTACTTTTTTCTTACATCGCTTTTTAATACTCATTAAGTAGTTTTCACACGCTTCGGATTCTTGGTCTTTGGAATCAACTGGATTTATTTTTTCATCTTGATTTCGTTCCGCAGAGTTGGGATAAAGGTTAATCGGTTTATTTATATGATTTTGGTTGATGCCGCAAACATCTTTGTATGCGTCTGTCATTACATCTATATCTGAGCAGCTAATATTATTAGAAATATCAGCAGCATTTCCATCATCAGCAGGTTTGCCATCAGTGGAATTTTCAGAATGGATGGAAATGTCCCAGAGGCTGTCATTGGAAAAATCGGATTTTCTGTCTTCACCAGTATTGCTCGAGGATCCATTACTGCTAATTCCATTGGCAATACAACCTTGGAAAGAATTGTGCATATTTTTATTGACAACTTTGCATTTAGGGTCCGAAAATTCAGGCAATGTTTCATCCATTCTTAGAACCATTCTCTTGTAAATATCTCATGTGGACAGATTGACATTGGATTCTGTGCCTTTAATATGACTGAAGAATTCATCTCACTCTTCAGGAACCATCATCATCTGTCCATTACTAACTCTGAAATAGTGAAAAAATATATTATATTATACTCTTCAAAAAAAAGTAGGGGATATTCAGAAACAATACAAAACTGCGGAAATACACTGCTGTTTTTATTAGAGATAACCAGTGTATGTTAATAACAGGCCAATTGCCTACACATGAACATAAACAATTCATATGGGCGGCTTATCTGACGGCCCCTTTTCACTTGCAAAGAGATACACCATCAAAAGTGAAAATGGACGTTTCTGATTTTTATCTTAATAATGAGTAATTGCTCCACCAATCCTCTCAGACATTCAGCAATTCGTAGTGACTTGCTCCTAATCAACCGTCCAATCATGATTTGGGGCAATCTGACCCACCCCTCTTGCAGTGCCACGGTCAATTCTTGCAGTGTTGTCCGTTGACGTTGACAAATACAACTCCCCGATCAAATTAAACGTAACACACTAAAGCAAAGATACGCTAAACAGTAAATCTTATGCAAGAACTGATAGGAAAGCAAACATGGATAGATAAACCAGCACGTGGCAGTTTCCATCAACTATTCCTTGAAGTGTCAAATTTGACAATAAACTCCTCCCATGTGTATCACGCTATTGCGTGTCGCTTGTACAGCTCAGTGGTTCTGTTGGGGCGATAAGTTCTTCATCTGTAAACATACTCTCAAGTCTCAAAGCATGCCAAGTGTCCATGACTATTTATCATATCACAACCTTCATAGATATTTGCATTTCAATATCCCCTACTTTTTTTGAAGAGTATATTTATTTATTAATTAATGACAAAATGGCAAGATATCAGACTAGTATTTCAAATATTTTCACGCCTCTTCTATGTACATTGCTATAATAACTGCTCTAGGAGCAGATACCAAGGTTGCAGGGGTGCCTTCCCCTATTTATCTATTGGCAATTTTTTGTTGGGGTGGGGAGGGGGGAATGTCTTCACTACATTAGGTATCCTTCTCAGGTTTAACCATGTAGGCCGAGGCATGTATCTATATACACCTGAAAAGAAATACCGGTTTCCTCCCATGGCTTAAAGACCCCTACACACAAAGAGAATAATTGAAATAAAATTGAACCATATGTTAGTCCTGAAATGACCTAGTTATGTGTCAAGTGGAAATTAAGCCGCATTTCTATCTCTGTGTGTGTGTCTCTCTCTCAAAAAGATTAACACCACTTACAATATTATCATTATATTGTTTGTTTCCCAAACAAATCTTGACTTGCGGAACTCGGAACCTGCCTATATTGTGTGAACATTAGAAATGGAAACAAGAAATGAAATGAAATGGAGTTTACCATACTACTCCGACTGGGCTAATGAAGACGGGTATATGCCATACAGTGTCCTATAACAAAAATTTTGCCCGAACAGCAGCTCTACCGCCTACTCGTAAAGATGTTTGCTTGAACACAACCGCCCACTTTCGAAAAATTCGGTATCCGCCGCTGTATCTCTGGACTTCACGATCTAATTTCAGATTCATGTAAGCAATATTAATATATTTTTTCAAGGAGGTTGACATTTATTAGATCTATGATAGCCATGGTACATGGCTCAGCGAGTTTAAGGCTCTGGCTCACAAATCAGTAGGTCCAGGGTTCAGTTCTGGTGTTGGCAGAGAACATTCATCAGGATTTTTCAGCCTGATTTCACCTTGTCAGTGATGCAGGCCAAAGCGCCTGGCAAACAACACTGTATAGTCATTTGGATGGACCAATAAATTGTGGTCCCATGCACATTTGGCATGTAAGCTACATAAAAGAACCCTTATGCTCGTCTTTGATATTAGCCCAGAAAAAAAGGATGTCAAAGGAGCAAAATAGCTAATATTTGGGACCTAGAAATCGACACAAATGGGTCGCAACGCACATAATAAAGTACCGGTAATATGAATGTATATAAACTGATTTTCATTCAATCGTTTCCGTTTTTACTCTAAACTTCAAATCAGTTACGTTCGGCGAAATATGCGAGAAGTCTCAATCGACTGGCAATCTCTAGCATCTGGTTATTCCAGTGTACACTGGTAGTATTTATTGTACATGCTCTTCAGATAAGAATATGGCGTCGCCATTTAACATGACTTGTGGAATATGTCAAGCCTCGTTCTTCAGGTCCCTTGCTACAAATGGCGCTGAAATGCATTATGGTACACGATTTGTGTACCAATGGTAAAATGTTTATTTTGTCTTAAATATTGGATATCAGAAGCCAATCTTTTCCCGGTAAAATCACAACATCAATGTTGATTTAAATTGAAAAATAATTTGTCCTTTCAATGTCGAAGACTGTAGATGATATTGAGTTAAAGACTTAGCTTCTTTAAGACCCTATTTCATTTCTTCATTTCAATTTCTATAATAGGTCCTAGCTGCATAAGGCAGTCTTACTTCAGCTACGTACTGAAGTCGTTTTATAGTGATTTTAAATTTCTCAATTTTAATCTTCATGCATTCTTGTTAATATTAATATTTCAGAATTAAAATATTTGACATTCCACAAATATCTATCTGGTATTTTTTTTTTTTCAATCTTTTTCTAAATGATAACATTTGACATTCACTATGTCTCTCCATGGACCTTATTATAGACTGTCTATAAATAACCTACTCCTGTCAAATTATTAAGACCGTCGCATACAACCAATAGAATCACTCAATCAAAAATAAAATACTATTAAACACATTATTAAATTTTATTTTATTTAATTGAGACAACCGTTATATGCTTTGGGTCGATTTTTGAACTAGAGCAATATCGAAGAAATCGTAAAAATCATGCTAAATTTGTCGATCCGTTAGGCGTTATCCGTCGTCATTATATTCTGCTGCACGAACTCTCTACCCACATAACAATATGATGTTAATTTTACGTTACATTTACGTAAAAATGGTCAGTCAGTTTACCATCATTTTGCTCATCTTTTTAACGATAATTTTACGTCAGGAAATGACGTTAATCTAACGTAAACTTTACGTCATTTTTACGTTATATTTACGTCATTTTCTGACGTAAATCTAACGTAAACTTTACGTCATTTTCTGACGTAAATCTAACGTAAAATTTGCGTAAAGTTTACGTCATTTTCGTTAGATTTACGTCAGAAAATGACGTAAACTTTACGTTAGATTTACGTCAGAAAATGATGTAAATATAACGTAAAAATGACGTAAACTTTACGCTAGATTAACGTCATTTCCTGACGTTAAATTGTCGTTAAAAGGATGAGCAAAATGATGGATATCTAACCGACCATTATAACGTAAATCTAACATTAAATTAACATCATTTACGGATGCAATTCTAATGTCAAATTTTGATGACCAAAGTTACGAAAATATAACAAACCATTAAAACCTTCAAAATTATTCATTATTTGCGGCAGTAAATGGGAAGTACATTCAATCAATAATCAAATTTTCCTGACCCGTGGGTGAGGCTAAAAGTTGAGTGGTCCAACGTGTGCGCTTTAGATCATAAGGTCTGTCATTGAGTCAAGTGGTTTGTTTCCACACCCAACTTGAACATGGGTTTTCTCTGGGTCCTCCTACTACTAAAGATTCCTGGTGCGGATGAATTATTCAACTTGAATTGAATCACTTAGTCCCAAAGGACAGTTTATGTCTATTGGATGTTTTACCCCATTGCTCTCTATCTACCCATAACCAGTCAGAATTCTAAATGTATTGCACAGAAAAGTTAAAAATCTAGCAGAATAATATGACAAAATATACTACAAGTATGTATACATATACTTTATTTAAAAGACAAAAATATAATGTTATAAAATACAAAATACACATTTAAATATTAACAGTTTTTATCCACAGCTGTTTGAGAAATGAAGACGGGCATATGCCACACAGTGTGCAGAGCTATGGCGTACTCTTATATAAAATTCCAACTGCCAAGGGATCTTTCACACACACACTTGAGTTTACACTGTACCTTGTTTTTTTGGTCCCTTCCGTATGACTAGTCAGCCATCCATGTCAGGTCCTCTGTCCGGCATCACTGACAAGGGAAAATGTTCAAGAAAAAGGTCTACATTAGCGCTATGAAAGTGCTGATATGCATATAAGAAAGAAAAAACTGGGATATTGACCAAATTGGGCCAAAACCTATAGCCTCTATCTTATTTGCTCAAGGTATTGATGGAATAGGAGTTAACTTTGGAATGAGTGAAATGAAATGGGGTTTAATGTCCTATTCCGACAGGGCTAATGACATCGAAATATGCTATACAGTGTCCTATTATGGAATTTTATCCAGACAGCGGCGCTAAAGCCTACTCTTATATCGAATTCAAACTGCCAAGGGATCTTTCACGTGCACACCAATGTGTGCACAGGACCTCGGTCATTCGTACCATCCAAACGACTAGACAGCTGTCCCTCCTTGTCAGGCCCTCTGTCCTGCACCTCTGACAAGGGGAGGAAACCAAGTCTGGAAATCACGAAGAACTTTCTCGGCCGACACTGGAATGGAATGTTGTGGAATGCTGAATATTGATAGGTTTCGTCCTCTCATGATTCCAGTGTGTAACACAAATTTGAAAAAGATCAATTAAGAATAAACACAGCATCTATTGCATTTGAAAAAGGGAGAATTAACCAAGGAAGGCAAAGTCCTGAAAAGCTGTATATTGATAATGCTTGTCCTCTCACAATCGGAATGATTCACATTTCACACCCAGTGTACGGACAAACAGGGCCAAAATTGATATGTGGGTGTATAAACAAAGATATATACTACACCAATATTACATGTGTTGCAGAATTGGTTTAACACATTTCAAATATAATTGTAACACGGATATTTGCAATGGTTGATCCATGACAAAAGATTTGAAATATTTTGAAGAGACGCAAAAGGTTACGCCATACAGTGTGCTATAAGGGAAATTTTGCCCAGGCAGCAACGCTATGGCCTACTCTTGTATCGAATTCCAACTGCCAGGGGATCTTTTATGTGCATGCCAATGTGTACACTGGACC